ACGGCCCCTGCAGGCCACCAGAGCCGCCACTATGGCCCAAGATGCCCCGAAGATGGCCCCGAGACGGCCCGAGATCCTCAAATACGTCCCAAGAGGGTTCCAGAAGGACCTCCAGGAGAACCCAATGATGACCCGTAAATGCTTGACTGATTCTGGAAAATTCTCGCCTCGGGCTTCCGCAAGCCCAACACGCCTCGAAGGCGGCCTCGAGATGGCCCAAGAGGGCCCCAGGATGACCCAAGAGGTCCCGAAGACGGTCCATGTAGGCCTCAAGACGGCTCAAGAGACGCCAAAGACGATCCTGAAGGGGGCCCCGAAACGGCCCAGAGAGGGCAGGCAGACTCCGAAGGCACCAGAGGGCAGACGATCGTCCTAAGACGGCTCAAGGAGCCCCCAAGTGGCCCCAAAGACACCCCGAAGCCTTATCCTCCTCCTCCTCCTCCTCCACCTCCTCCTCCTCCTCCTCCTCCTCCTCCTCCTCCTCCCCCTGGGGGCGACAAGTAACACATGTAACGCCCTTCTCGGCGGGGCTGTTGTGCTGGCGCAGTGGCGAGACTTGCCGCAGGCAGCTGGATAAGAAGCAGTGCGGGCATGGTTTGCTGGCACTCCATGAACTCTTTGGTGGCCACTTGGAAGCCGACATCAACTCGCACGACCGGCAGAGTCGCTGTCCAACAAACTACCGACCGACAAGATTGTCACTTATTCCGATCCACTCATCCGAGGAAAGCAGGAAAGGGAGAGCGAGCTGGCATGCTTGCCACAACACTCACGCTGACGAGACGCCTGGCAAACCTGATGAGACTTGGCAGACCCGTGACTCACACACCCGACATCTTTGGGTGGTCTGACCGAGAGTCTGGTTTATATGCATGTCGGTGCAAATCAGCCTGACGAAGGGCCCAACCATATGCAGCTTCGAGTACCGCGAGGCCGGTGAGACGAAGGAGGAGGGCCAGCAAAAGGCATGCGAACACCGCCTCCGGGGCCTTCGGTCGAACTCCTTATGGGGCCACGGGACGATGTACCCGGTGGGGGAACCCCACTCGGACACCGCTCCTGGGGCCTTGTGTGGAACCTCCCAAAGGGTGGGGGCAACGCATGCGAGTGCAGCCACAGGGGCCTTCGGTGGCGCTCCCCATGGGGCCACGAGACGCCGTATTGGGTGGGGGAACCGCACGCGAGTGCAGCCATTGGGGCTTTCGGTGGAGCTCCCTGTGGCGCCACGCAGCGCTGTACTAGGTGGGGGAACCGCATGCGGGTGCAGCTATAGGGGCCTTCGGTGGAGCTCCCTATGAGGCAACGAAACGCTGTACTGGGTGGGGGAACCGCATGCGAGTGCAGCCATTGGGGCCTTCGGTGGAGCTCCCTATGGCGCCACGCAGCGCTGTACTAGGTGGAGGACCGCATGCGGGTGCAGCTATGGGAGCCTTCGGTGGAGCTCCCGATAGCGCCACGCAACGCTGTACTGGGTGGGGGAGCCGCTGCAGCCATTGGGGCCTTATGTGAAGCTCCCTATGGGGCCACGAGGCGCTGTACTAGGTGGGTGTGAACGCATGCGAGTGCAGCCACTGGGGCCTTCGGTGGCGCTCCCTATGGGGCGTGCTGTAATGGGTGGGGGGGACGCATGCGAGTACAGCCTCTGGGGGAGTCGGTAGCCTCTGGTACTCTGGAGTTCCCCATCGGACCACGAAACGTTGTGCTGTGTAAGGGAACCGCATGCGAGTGCAGCCATTGGGGCCTTCGGTGGAGCTCCCTATGGCGCCACTCAACGATGTACTGGTTGGGTGAACAGAACAGCATGCGCGTGCAGCAACTGAGGCCTTCGGTGGAGCCCCGTATGGGACCACGAGACGCTGTACTGGGTGGGGGAACCGCATGCGAATGCAGCCACTGGGGCCTTCGGTGGAGCTCCCTATGGGACCACGAGACGCTGTAGTGGGAGGGGAAACGCCTGCGAGTGCAGCCACTGGGGCCTTCGGTGGGGCTCCCTGTGGGGTCACGAAAAGATGTACCGGGTGGGGGTACCGCATGCGAATGCAACCATTGAAGCCTTCGGTGGAGCTCCCCATGGCGCCACGCAACGCTGTACCAGGAGGGGGAACCGCATGCCAGTGCAGCCGCTGGGGACTTCGGTGGTGCTCCCTATGGGGCGTGCTGTAATGGGTGGGGGGAACGCATGCGAGTACAGCCACTGGGGGAGTCGGTAGCCACTGGTACTTTGGTGGAGTTCCCTATCGGGCCACGAAACGTTGTGCTGTATAGGGGAACCGCATGCAAGTGCAGCCATTGGGGCCTTCGGTGGAGCTCCCTGAGGGACCACGAGACGCTATACTGGGAGGGGGAACGCATGCGAGTGCAGCCACTGAGGCCTTCGGTGGAGCTCCCTGTGGGGTCACGAAAAGCTGTACTGGGTCGGGGTGAATGCAGCCATTGAGGCCTTCGGTGGAGCTCCCTATGGCGCCAGGCAGCGCTGTACTGGGAGGGTGAACCGCATGCGAGTGCAGCCACTGGGGCCTTCGGTGAAGCTCCCTGTGGGACCACGAGACGCTGTACTGGGAGGGGGAACGCATGCGAATGCAGCCACTGAGGCCTTCGGTGGAGCTCCCTGTGGGGTCACGAAGAGATGTACTGGGTGGGGGGCGAGTGCAGCCACTGGGGCCTTCGTTGGAGTCCCCTATGGCCCCACCCAACGCTGTACTGGGTGGGGGCACCGCATGCGAGTGCAGCTATTGGTGCCTTTGGCGGAGCTCCCGATGGCGACACGCAACGCTGTACAGGGTGTGGGAACCGCATGCGAGTGCAGCCACTGGGGCCTTCGGTGAAGCTCCCTATGATGGGGCCACGAGGCGCTGTACTAGGTGGGTGGGAGCGCATGCGAGTGCAGCCACTGGGGCCTTCGGTGGCGCTCCCTATGGGGCGTGCTGTAATGGGTGGGGGAAGCGCATGCGAGTACAGCCTCTGGGGGATTCGGCAGCCACTGATACCTTTGGTGGAGATCCCTATCGGGCCACGAAACGTTGTGCAAGAGCACCCCTTGGGGCCTTCGGTGGAGCCCCCTTATGGGGCCACGAGACACTGTATTGGGTGGGGGAACCGCATGCGAGTGCAGCCAGTGGGGCCTTCGGTGGAGCGTCCTATGGGGCCACGAGACGCTGTACTGGGTGGGGGAAGGCATGCGAGTGCAGCCACTGGGGCCTTCGGTGGAGCTCCCTTATGGGGCCTCGAAGCGCTGTACTGGGAGGAGAAGCCGCATGCGAGTGCAGCCACTGAGGCCGCCTTTAGTGGAGCTCTCTTTGGGGCCACGAAGCGCTGTACTGGGAGGAGGAACGCATGCGAGTGCAGCCACTGGGGCTTTCGGTGGAGCTCCCTATGGGGCCTCGAAGCGCTGCACTGGGAGGGGAAGCCGCATGCGAGTGCAGCAACTGCGGCATTCGGTGGAGCTCTCTATGGGGCCACACTGGAGCCTTCGGTGGAGCTCCCGTTGGGACCACGAGACGCTGTACTGGGTGGGGGAACCGCATGCGAGTGCAGCTGCTCGGGCCTTCGGTGGAGCTCCCTGTGAGGCCACGAAGCGCTGCAATGGGTGGGGGAACCGCATGCGAGTGCAGCCACTAGGACCTTCGGTGGAGCTCTCTATGGGGCCACGAAGCGCTGCACTTGGGATGCCGAAGCACAAACATGCAAATGGCAGGGGCAGGAATGGGACGAGGGAGGAGTGGGAGGAGAGGGCGGGAGTTGAGGGGACGCGGGGCGCTGTCTCTTCAAAAAGCAGGAAGACCCAACACCACAGAATGTTTTGGAAAACAAGCCATGAAAGGATGAACATGTAGCCGAGCTCCTGCTCCTGATGAACGGCGTCGCATTGCTTCCGCTCCCCGCTCACACCTCCCATGCTGCCGTCCGAGCAGTGTCGCGGGAGCCTCCAGCATGTGGTGGGCACGCTTGATCTCGCCGGCACGCACCAACGCCTCACAACGGCTGCATAAAAAGGCTTGGGAGCAAACCAGGAAAAGCAACATACGCGCACAGAGCAGCGAGAAGTCCCGCACATCGCTACCATGTGCAACACCGATGCCGGAGCGACGTCGACGACCCGCGGCGTGCGGCACGAGGCAGCTGCACAGAGACGCGGCTGGAGGCCCGGAGGCGTGGCCTCTATGACCTTGAAGTAGGTCGCCCTCGCCGGCTTCCACGCCTGGGGGGGAGGGGGGAGGTGCGAGATTAGGAGGCAACTGCTGGGAGGTTTGCACCGAAAAGATTGAAGAGGATTAAGCCCCATTGAGGGGCTCTTATGCCGGAGTGGGCCTCGGATTACGCGGGATTAAGCTGGATGAAGCCGGATCAAACGGGATCGAGCCGGATTAAGCCAGATTTCGGACCAGGGCGAAAACAGAATTTGACCTCCCAGGAGTTGCATCCGAAGTAAGAGGAGAGGGGAAGGGGCTCCCGCACTTCAGGCGAGACGGCCGTGGCAAATCACACTCACGCGTCGCCCTGTGCTGCGCGGGGTCTTTGACGGTCTCCGAATGTGCATCTCGGCCCCCTGTCTGCATGGAGACAAGGCAGAATATGCAGCCGTGTTACCGTGGGAGGGAGTCGGACGAGGAGGAAAGAGGAGGATGACAGATGACCAAGTGAAGAACGACGAGGACAATGATAATAAAGATGAAGCAGTAATCAGGACTAAGGCGAGGTGGACGAATAGCACGAGAAGATGGATGTTGATCGGTTCTTGATAGGTAGCTACGCCGAGGACGGGCATAGGGGCAAATCCTTTCCCGCACTTTACTTGATTCGATATTGCGAAATGCGCAACATGCCGAGGGACTGCCTCAGCCCCAACATTCCCCCAGACAGCGATTGTGCTGTAACGCATGGTGACGAGGGCCATCACGCGCGCTTCGCGCGCGCTCACGTTCTACCTGTCTTGGAATAGATCGCGAAGTCGTAGAGAGGCTGTGCCCGAATGAAAGAAACTGTGGGTCTGAAAGCCAACGCGTTCGTCGCCGCGCGCATGGGTGCCCGGGCTAGGAGGAGGGATGCGCAACTACATGCAATAACAATGCGTGTGAGCATTCATCCCCCCCCCTGCTGCGGTCTCCCCCGCCCCCAAGAGAGCCACCAGGCGGCCCCAGAGGACCCCGTCTTGGAGTTCCCTTGGATGAGGGAAGGATTTGGGGGATCTCCGGGAACTCCTGGGGGCCGCTGGGGACGTGGGGGTCTCAAAGGTCCCTTTCCTTGAGGCCATGCTAGGGGTCCTGGGTGCCGTCGTGAGGGGGAGGGCTCCCGGCCTGCACCCCTTGGGTCCCTCGTAGAGCATCTCGGGGACCTCTTCGGCGGTCACGAGGCGGTCTTGGGCCATCTTTGGGTCATGTTTGGCCGTCTTGGGGCGGTCTTGGAGGCCTCTTGGGCACGCGGGAACGCTAAAATGTGTCCAAGACATTGGCCAAACAAATAAATGAATTGCCCATACCTTTGGGGTCCTCTTGGGCCCCTCTTGGAACGTCAAACGGGCATCTTGGGCCTTGAAGCAATCCTGGGCGGTCTTGCAGGCCTGTTGGGACATTTCGGAGGCTCTGGGTGATGTGAGGGGCGCCCAGGGCCGAAGGAGAGCGCCCAGAGCAGCCTGCAGGGAAGCCCCAGGGTCGGGAAACATCACTCCATTCACTCTGCGTGCCCCTGGCGTGCTCCTGGAGGCCTCCTGCTTGGGGTCCGAACTGATGGGGTCGAGGGATCGCGCCGCATCGCCAATGCATCTCCGATGCATCGGCGATGCATCGCCAATGCATCGCCGATGCACTGGCGATGCGGCGAGATCCTCCGACCCCATCCACTCCGACCTCATCTAGCAGGCCCAGAGCTGCGGCCCTGGCGATCCCACGGCCGGGCTTCCAGCGTATGAAGGATGGGCCGCCGACTCCGGGCGGGATTCTGTCCAGAGGTGCATCTGCGCGTTGGCTCGGATTGGCACCTGCCCCTACGGTCCTGGTCCGCTGCGCGCTGGCTCCGGCAGTTGCCCTGGTCCCTGGTCCAAGCTGCACATACGCCTTGGCTCGAAATTTTGGCTGGAGCGGGCAAGGTATACATATATACTCCGATTCGAATATTATGGTAAGGACGGAGGCCCCGGAAAGAGTGCACCCCTCTAACCCCCCCCTCCAAACGAACTTCGAATCCTCGGGCCTGTCTTGCGCCCTGGGTTTTTTGATTTTCGACTCTCCGGGCCCTCTTGGGCCAGCCTTAGGCCTCTTTGGGGCTCGTCTAGGGACTCATTTGGAGCCGTCCTGGAGCTATCTCGACGCCTCAAGAACCGATCGCAAACGAAAAGACAAGAAGACCAAAAACGTCGTCTTCCCAGTGAGTTTTATGGATTTTCAATCATCTGGGCATTCTTCGGCCAGCCTTGGGCCTCTTTGGGGCTTGTCTGGGGACTCATTTGGAGCCGTCCTGGGGCTATCTTGACGCCTCAAGAGCCGATCGCAAGCGGAAAGGCGAGAAGGCCAACAACATATTTTTCCAATGGGTTCTCATTGAAGCTCCATGTTTGGGGCCTTCTTTGGCCAGCCTTGGGCCTCTGTGGGCCTTGGCTTGCGCCTCTCTGGAGCCACCCCGAGCCGACCGGAAGCGAAAAGGCGAGAAGACCGAAAACATTGTTTTCTGCCCTCTTTGGGGCTAGGGCCACTCTGTGCCCTCCTTGGGGCTCGTCTGGGGACTCATTTGGAGCCGTCCTGGGGCTATCTTCGCGCCTCAAGAGGCGATCGGATAAGAAATGCGAGAAAGCGACAAACATTGATTTCCCAATGGGTGTTCATTGCTGTTCTATGTTTACTGGCCTTCTTGGGCCAGCCTTGTGCCTCTGTTGGCCTCGGTTCGCGCCTCTCTGAGGCCATCCTGGGGTCATCTTGGCGCCTCTCGAGCCAACCAGAAAAGAAATGCGAGAAGGCCGAACACATAGGTTTTCCAACTGATTTGTCGGATTTCCGACTCTCCAGGCCCTGTTGAGCCACCCTTGGGCCTCTTTGGGGCTCGTCTGGGAAATCATTTGGAGCCGTCCTGGGGCTATCTTCGCGCCTCAAGAGGCGATCGTAAGCGAAATGCCAGAAGGCGAGAAACATTGATTGTCCAATTGGTGTTCATTGATGTTGTATTGTTATTGGCCTTCTTAGGCCTCTTTGGGGCTCGAAGCCGGCAGCCCAGCAGCGCGCATGCCGGAGGAGGAGGAGGAGGAGGAGGAGGAGGAGGAGGAGGAGGAGGAGGAGGAGGAGGAGGAGGAGGAGGAGGAGGAGGAGGAGGAGGAGGAGGAGGAGAGGAAGATGAGGAGGAGGAAGTAGAGGAGAAGAAGGGGAGGAGGAGGAGGAGGAGGAGGAGGAGGAGGAGGAGGAGGAGGAGGAGGAGGAGGAGGAGGTAGAGGAGAAGAAGGGGGAGGAGGAGGAGGAGGAGGAGAGGAGGAGGAGGAGGAGGAGGAGAAATCAGAGGAAGACGGGGAAAGAGGATGAGGATGAGGAGAAGGGGAGGAGGAAAAGGGGGAGGAGGAGGAAGGGGAGGATGCCCTGCTTCATGTTAGCCCAACCACTCGCTTGAGACATACTCGCGCCTCTGGGCCCCGAAACGCCCTGAGATGGCCTCAGCTGGTATTGTCCGGTCGCTCCCGCTCAGGAGCTCTTCATCCATTCCGACTTGGCGGTGGCCCGCCCCATGTCCACGCGACGCACGCCGCCTGCATTCGAAACGACAAGGAACAAGGTGAATGGCGCAAAGCGCCAATGCAGTTCTGTCTATATATATATGTAGAGAGAGAGAGAGAGAGAGAGACCCCCGCATGTAGTCCGAATTGATGGGCTCGAAAGATCGCGCCGCATCGCCGATGCATCGCCAATGCATCGGCGATGCATCGGCGCGGAGACACTCGAGCCCCACATCGAGCCGCACCGCCGATGCGTCGACGATGTGGAGCGCTCCGTCGACCCCGCCTCCTCGGACCCCAATTGGGAAGCCTAGAATTACCCTGCGGGTTGCCTCCGCTGACTGCCCACACGGCCCCGCCCACAGGGTTTCGGGCTGGGATGCCTCTGCGCACTGGCTGCGGCCGTTGCCAATACGTATGGTCCCGTCCGTCGGGCGCCCATTTCGCTTTGCGCTGTGCCCCTGCTCGTGAGCTCCTCTGGTTGCCCGAGGCCCTGGGGCCGCCAAGAGGCCCCCCAGACGCTCCAAGAGGCCTCCAGGAAACTTCCGAGAGACACCCGAGGAGACTTTGAGAGGCAACTCGCCTGGGCATCGTTTCTGGATGGGTCGGTGGGGATACTTTTTTGGTCCGCGGGCGCACGGAACGAGTCGGACGCCGAGCAAGCATGGCAGCGCTTGCGACCTGCAAGGGCAAACACAGGACGAGAGCAAAGAACAAAACTGGTGGGGATGCGCAGAGCGTAAAGAATTCCTGGTTGCTGCGCGTCTGTTGGTGAGCTCCCTTGGTTGCCCGCTGGATTCTGCCCGTTGCGCAACCGCACCCTGCGAGCTGGCATCGGTAGATGCCCAAAAGCCTCCTTCCACCGGGTCCTGGCGTTAGGTCGGGCCTGTCCCCCTACAGGGGGATTTTGGACGAAAATGAAACATACCCCCAAAATGCTCCCAAATGGTCAGAAAATGCTCAAACATTAGTTCACATGTTTTTTTTTTTTTTTACTATTTTTGGATCGTCCTCCTGTCGAGGGACAGGCCCGACTTAATCCTGGCTCGCCCTGCAGACGGGCGTCTGCGCGGCGGGCCTCCGTCGATGGGGCGAGGCTCGGCCACTCGAGCCCGGGCTTCCGACGTCGTGCCTGCTCGCTCAAGCCCCCCCCCCCCCCTGGCGCCGTGGCTGCGCGTCGCGGGCCTTGTTGTCTCTCTAGCGGCCGCAGGGCTCAGGAGCGCCCCCCGGGGGGCAGGATACGAAAGGGGCCCCAGGACACACAAATAAATACACACAAATAGAAAGATTCCCCATAAGTTCCTATACTTTTGAGGTTTCGTCTTCCCCCCAGTTTCCCATATTCTCCCATATTTTCTGTGGAATCGGCGATTAATTGTGTCCGTGTTTCTTCCCTCCTGAGATACGGAGAACGATCTCCCGCTCCTCGAGGCGCGTCTCGTTCTAGAACACATTGCTCGTGAACGTGTGTGCGACGGGAGCGTGCTCAACCAATTCGCCTTCCGTTGTCG